TAGAAAAAAAAATCACGGTTAAAATTCCTCAAAGGATTTCCTTACCGTGTATACCAGCCTTTAGTGAAGTTTTTCTGCGTTTTAAAAGAGGTTCTCATAGTTTGCCCCAAATTACCAGGATATTTTTCTATTGGTGGTTCTTTCTAAAGTTGTTGGCAATTTTGGTAAATAAGTTGATGTGTTGGTATGACTGCTTTGGTACTTTTTCAAACTCAGATAGGCTTTAGGAGGATATTTTCAGCATTGGATAATGTATCTGTTTTGTGTACTATTGTTCAGAAGGTTTTAGTAAGAAAACACAGTAAATTATACATATTTTTTATTAAATTTCATTTTACTTTTGTTTCATTAAATAAAGATATTCTTTCGTCCTCTTTGTGGACTAGGGGATTAAGTTATACATTTGTTAACTGTCTGATTAATTGATACAATTATAGTTTTTCTTTTATAGAGGTTGGTTCAAATAAAACTGAAATGCTTTTTTATGGAGAGAGAACTGTATTATCAACCCTATTTTGTTTAATTTTTACTTAATTCATTTGATAAATTATATTATGGTATCTTCAGTGCCTGGTATTAGTATTTAGGATGTGGAAATAAAGATCTCATCACATCTGGATGATTTACTAATAATAGTAGAGTTGATCATAAATTTACAGGGATTAATAAATATTTTAGCGAAATTTTTCAAGTCAGCTGAGTTGAGATTAAATTTGGCAAAGTTTAAGATTGTGGTTTTTAGGAATGATGATATGAGCTCTAACAAGGAAAATTGGTTTTTTAATGGGCAAAGGATAGAACTGATTAAAGAATATAGATATTTAGGTGTAGTGTTTTATTCAAGTAAAGATTTTTGAGAAATGAAATTGGTAATTAAGAAACATGAGTTTTTGACTTCTAAAATTAATTCTTGTGTAAAAGAGAAATNCTATAACTTTGAGCAATTAATAGCGACGTTGAGGCCGAAGTTTTAAATGCGAAAACGTGTACAGTACATCGGACGTTCAGCGCCGCTTTCCTATAAGCCCAGAAGTTTGACAATGGTGTTTGGAATATCGAGCATGATTCCACTGACTAACCAAACACTATTGTCAAACTTCTCGGCTTACAGGAAAGCGGCGCTGAATGTCCGATGTATACATTTTCGCATGTAAAACTTCGGCCTTAACCTCGCTATTTATTGTGACTTTGTCACAACGCCTAGCCGCAATTTGTAATAATATTTTTAGATCATTTAATTTAAAATATATGCTCTCCAGCTCAAATTAGTAGTAGCTTGCCCCTGTACATCATAGTTTTCCTTTAACAATAGTGTGAGGGTCGGGTCTGACGAAGATTTTGGAAAACATCTTTTTGGCCATCTTTCGAAAATTTTCCACTTTTATGATCGGATGGTGATTGCATCTCTCTCTCTCCAGAGTTGTTTCCTTTCCCAGGGAACTCGTTGAATGTGTCACGAGGAACTGATCGATGAAATTCACGAAAGGATAACGTGATATGGAGAATAAAAAGGGGAACTCGAGGGGAAGAAGGTGGTCGAGCGGGAGGAGGAGCAGAACTGTGTGCCAGTCAAGAAAGGGAGCTTCTAATATCAAACAACCCTCCGATACGGATTTTTTGGATAATCCTCTGATACGGATTTCTTGTATCCTATCAACTCCGGACCACCTCCTCGTCCAGCATCCAAAGAGGTATGATAATGATTAATGTAAACTCTCTTTCGGCCCCTTCCAACTAGTAATAGGGAGCTATTATACAAGGTCGATAGAATCTCGATGTTAGTCATTGTATCTAATTATTTGTTATCTAATAAACTTCCGTTTTGTAGTTAAATGGTGTCTTTTTCTCGTGTATCGCCGACGTCTTACCGACGATCCCTCTCGCCTCTTCCACTCGACCTGACACAAATAATCCTGACCCTGTAGGGTTTAAACACAAACCCTGTTATCCTTTAGACGAGTGGGCAGGCTTAACGGCCTGTTTGCCGACCAAAAGGGAGGTACGACATCATCCTACCTCAGAGGTCGCCCACAACAGAGTCGTGCCGGTCGTCTATTAACTTCTTTAGGGGGAGTTTTGAATTGAAAAACCGTGACTTCCGGTTTGCATCTAAGTTCATATATAGTTAATTGTGGCCTCCTGTCCCTAAAGTTTTCACATCTGATCTCGGATTTCATCTATTAATAATTCCGTTCTCGAGAATAAGACCGACGGACGGACGACAGTGGGAATTTATGGATCTACAATTTTTCCAAATTGCAACCCCGTGAGGACACGGGTCGACACAAACTAACGGATAGAAAAGTTCAGAATGTCAATCGGAAAAATCCAGCTTTGACTCTGACTCTGGTAGACATGACAAAATTTGAAAATAAATGTAGCATTCTTTTGAAAGCAAAATTGTCGCGTTGTAAGTAATGAACACATAAATAGAAATTCTTATCGTCAGAAACAATAATATCATGGAGTGAGATACGAGCGAAAGTTTCAAAGTTGGATCAACACTTGCGGACGAAGTCGAACGGAAGTGTCAAACTTATTAACCGATCAAATTAGGAATTTATGAGAGAGATCTTTTAAGAAGCCAGAAATTCGAGGAGAAAGAATGGTGGCTTGTCCCTGGCTCAATCTGTTTATCCTCTGTGTCGGTTTTCCTGTTGTCTCGGACGTCATTTTCGTTCTGCCGCATTATAAGGGTTTTTCAAGTTTTTTAAAATATTAACTTTATTCAGTTTCATGTTACATTAATACGCGAAACGTGCAACCCCGACGACGACCGAGGAAACTTTCCGGAAAGCGAAATAATATTGGATGAAATAAATCGAAATCTTAACTTTTTTTACATTTTTTAAGAGATGTAAAAAAGTTCTTAAGATTATCAGATGTTTTTACATATCAGATGTTTTTGTTTAATAATTGTACAGTATTATTATATCAAGACTTAAGATCGGTCGGCGCTCGAAGACCGCGCCACGCTGCCAACCGAATGCTTTTAATATTCATTTCGGTCGGCACCGACTGACGTTTTCCACACGTCGTTTAGAAAAATCATTATAAAAAATTTTAATTCTTGTAAATTTGAGCTTTTATAATTCTAAGTAACATTTGTTTCTATGCAATTTTATTCTTATAGGTATAAAATTAAGCCGTAAAACTGAATAAGCTCTATGGGAAATCCCCGTAAACTTTGGCCTATCGACCCGAAAGTTTCGCAGCACACTTCACTGATCACGAAAAAGGCTCAAGTTTAAAATTTGCGCTTTCTAGACCCAGTACTTTTTTCTCTACGAGCGTTCGTAGTGCCGGATGAAGAAAAAAATAAAGTACAGCTTTTTTGGCGATTTTTTCACTTTTTAATTACTTATATATCTGCAACCGCATTACAGAAAATCTTGAAATTTTGCATACTACCTAAGAAAACAATTTTCTTACGAACTACATATTGTAGTTGAAGTGTTTGGGGGCGGAGAAGTCGATCCCAAAAATCGAAAACTCGGATTTCTGTATATATAGTCGGTCACTGACTTTTTTTAATTAGCAGAGAGTCACTGCCGTTTATTTGTTTAGTTATGGCAACGCAACACTTGGGCGATCTGACTAGGGGGATGCCTTCCGGGAGGTCTTTTTAAGGGAAACTGGGCCCTATTTAAGCGTTACAGAGGTGGAGAAAACCCGGGAAACTCCACGTGGCCAGTCCGTCCGAGAGGCGCGAACCCAAGACCGAACTCTGTGTTCATGGTATGAAGACCGCTTGGCCACTGGTCACTGCCCTGACTCCTGATAGACGTGAAATAACCTCGTGTTTCGAACAAATTTTGAACCCATATTAGTCCGTTCGGATATGTCGGGCACCGTCCTTCACCACCCAGCCGCCCCATTGTGGGACTGGCCAAACCCATAATGGCCTTGCTAAAAAAGGCCCTCTTAGTGCCCAGAGGGCGGAGAGTTTTAAATAATAATAATAATATAATATTGCATTTGTAGGCATTTTTATGCATAAAATATAACTAAAAAGGTTAAAAAAAAAGACTGTTTTGAGAGTCGGAAACAGTTTGATTCATATTATATTGTTTCTTATGGGAAAATTTGTTTGGGTTTGAGAACAAATCGGATTTCGAACCATTTTTAGGAACGAATTAAGTTCGAAACCCGAAGTTTGACTGTATATGCTGAAAAGTTATTACTATTTTTACGATCAACTTTAAGCGTTTGTACATACAAAAATTGAATTGTATTGAATAGATATTTAATAAGTTAAATTGTATAATTCAGTCATTAAATTGTGGGTCCATAAAAGTTTATTGTTCCACGTGGTCTATAGTTCGAATATCTCTCTTTTATCCGGAAGGTCCGAGTTCGATTCCTATGAGAACATTTTACACACACTAATTTCTAGACGATGTTATTGTTTACTACTTTGTTTTTGATCATATCGAAAATAATAAATTCTTCATAGAAAATTAGCTAACAATTTTAATTTAGCATTCAGAAAATCATTTTCAAATTAATATTTTAGTTTTTTTACTTTTTTCGTTCTTTTCCAAATCTATCAAATTTCATATAAGGATTTGAAAAATTAGACTAATACATATAAGTAATATGATTTTAGATGAATGAATTTTATAAAATGATCCTTTGATCTTCGTATGATATTATTGAAAGTTGATTGATTAAATTTTTGATAATGTTGAAATGAATATTATAATTTTGTCAAAGAAGGATGTATTTCAAATTCATACAACAGTATTGTCTGATTTATTTAGTCAAAACACTAATTTGGTTGGTTTTGAAATATCAATTTACACTGTAACAAAATAAATACTTTTTAATATTAATTGCAATATAAAAATAAATTTTCAGTAATAACTTAATGTGAATTAATTAATTTTAGCTTTAAGAAATTATTTAACAAAATGAATTGTTTATTTCATCTTTAATTTTATTATATTTCTTACATAAGTAAATAAAAGATTTTAATTTATCAAAAAAGTACAGAAAATATGAGAGTATAATTTATAAATTATGGTATATAGTATATTCATGTAAGAATATTCTAAACTTTCTCTAAAAATGTTTTATATAAGCCTGTATATGTTATATGTGCATAAGACTGGCTGATGCACATATATAGTCCTACTAAGTAAATTTGTATAAAGGCCTCTATAAATATTATTTGAGTGTACCTACCTAGTTATAAATATCATCAAAGATATATTTTTAATGGCCAGATAGCCAAGACAGTAAAGGGGGACAGCATACTGTCTAAGAGACCCTGGATTGAATCTGAATGAGTAACCCAGAAATTTTTTGTGGATATATTGAAACCTTGACTCTCAATATTTGGAAATCCTCATTCATTATTATTTTATCCATAATGAAATTACCTAAGTCTACATTTAGGTGCACTTGCAATTCTCTTTGAAATATCTACATCACCAATCAATTCATCTAATTTTCCTCTCAGTTCAATAGTCATTGTATAGAACATATTACGCTCAGCAGTAATATTCTGTAAATAAAAATGATATAATTATAACAAAAACTTTTATCTGAAGTAAAAACTTTAATATCATAACCTTTAATTCCACAATAGCAAATAATAATATAAATAAAAATAAATATATCATTGCATGTAGTGGTGCCTATCTATTAATATTTCCAATCTTTGTATGACCCATAGACTAAATCTGGCATACCAAATTCACACTAAATTTTAGAATATTTTTATAATAGATAAATACATTTATAATTGGTGTGCAAATAAGTCAATTAAGTTATTGATAGTAATTATATTGTAAATGCATATAAAAAAATTTTAGAAATTCAATTAAATGTAAAAAAGAATAAACATGCCAATAAATTTTCTTTTCCATGCATGTGTGTGTAAGTTCTATGTTGCCAAATGAAAAATACAAAAATCTAGCAGAAAATTTACAACAGACAAAATTTTAATATTTTGCTTTAAAATTAAATTATTATTTTTATTTAAAATGTGTCATTTATTATTATTATTTTTTTGCTGATTTTCTTTGGTATGGGCTGTAAAATTTTGTTGTGAATCCTATTTGGTCCTCATGAAAAAGTTTGGGATTCCTCATATGAATAACTGAAACTCTACATGAATAAAACTACATTGAAAAAATTTTTATTCATAAAAAAATATGCCACCTCCATTTCTTAACATGTGCAATTTTTTCTTTTATATTGTATTACCAATTTGTTATGGAGAACAAGCAATTACTTATTGTGACATCACTACAATGCTGTCAATTTTTTAGTAGTGTCAGAGTCGGTAGATTAACTGGTCTTTCGCCTACCTATCTTTGATCGTTGCTAAAATCAACTAGAGACAAATGTTACCACCAGGGGCATTGCAATCACTTCAAGAGCGCTAGATTGAATCGCTGTGAGGTCGAATGTTTTCTTTTTTATTGAAAGATATATAACCTTCGAGTTTGACTTCATAATTTTTTATATGCATTTTATTATAAGAATGAAAAAGCTTTTATTTAAACCCAAAACCAGGTTTATGGATAACTAAATGACAATAAAACATTAAACACCTTCCATCGCTGAGAAACGTTTATTTAATAAAACACTAACATTTTCAGCCTCATGGAATAAACCATCCTCGGGTGTAAATGACTGCGAATGTATTTTATTAAATAAACATTTCTCAGCGATGGAAGGTGTTTAATGTTTTATTAAGTGTTTTAAAAACGCTGAGTTTGATATTTAGTTAAATAAATGACAAGGAATAAAACTGACATAATAATACAATTATTATTATTTGCGCTATTAAAATTTACTTTAAGTGAAAAATTTTTCTGTTTTTTACTTTCAACTGATGAGATAAATGATTGATTAATCGTTCGCGTGAAAAAATGCAGGTAACAAAAAAGTTCAGAAATCTGGAGGTCAAGTAGGACTTGTGACCATCATTGGCGCATCTTATCATCGATGTAACAGAACACTGATTTAATATGATATCCATTATTGAAAAATAAACATCCATGTTTGGGTTTGTTAATTTTTCACATACTTTGCTTTCTGCCCAGTAAATCAATTGGCAAAGCTTATAGCTTAGATATAACAAACCTTCTCGACATTTGATGAATGTAAATGTCTTCTCTGGTGCAGCATCTTCAAGTTTTGCTGTTAATATATTTTTGCATTCGTCACAACCGAGTGATGGTAGTAGATGATAAACAATGTAACCTCCTAAATAATGTAGCATAAACTTAAATGTTTCTGGTGAGCAATAATCATGATCTAATAATTCACTATCACTAGTATCTCCGTAGGACAGGCTTGGATTAGAAAGCAAATTTTGTAAATGTTCTTCCAGTTGTTCTTGAACTTCCTTAAATGGTTTTTTATGACTATGGAGAAGATTTTTAAAGTAATAAGGGAAGATCCAGGATCAGTTTGAACTGATGCTCGTTTGGGAGGACGAACCAAACTGTACACAGTCATCAGTCTGTACAGGTATAAGAACTGTACTGTTGTGGGATGAGAATTGCTTCCACTTCCTTGTCTTATCATTCCAAAGAAACGCTAATTGAAAAGAAAACATAAGTTAAGAGTTTAATACAAGATTATATAATCATTACACTAAGTCAGTTTTGATTAATAAAAAAAATATCAGACGATTAATCTTAAAGTATTTACAAGTAAAGGTGGGCCACAGAGAGATAGCCCTCAGTGAATCACAGTGGGTCTCACAAACCCAGCTCAATCTTTAGTTAACATTTTTTTAAATATAAAAATACTGAAAAAATTTATATTCTTCCAACTTTTCAGTCCGATCAACATGCGGTTAGAACGTTTTTTTTATTTGACTTTACTTGGACTGTTTTACTCGAAACACCATGTATTAAACAAGTTTTTGAATTTCGTTTCCTCTTGTACAATAATATGTAACCGTATTGGGGGGGAGATGATATCAGAGAATCTGGAAGAATTTAAATATAAAAAGTATAATGTCCGAACGATATCACATCTATACCATTATCAGAAATAAATTTTTTGTCGTAAAACGGGGAGAGTGATATTTTATTCTGAAGATATGTTGTTACAATATGGTTTTTACTTTTAATACCATACTGCTGATGTCTTAATAGCTCAGTATTAAATAAAACTTCTTTATATTTTTCGTGGTTAAAGGTTTTAACAACAGATTTTTTAATTCCTTTAGCTGTTTTTTTATTTTGATTATCGAAAATATACGAATACATTTTCGGTTTTAATGAACAAAATTCTATTATAGGTTTAGACGCTGTCTCGTCTTTAAAATATCCAAGCTTATTTTTATTTGTTACATCAAATAATTCATGTGTGTTAGGGTAGTTGCTGAAATCAAAAATATCTGGAAATGATTTAAAGTC